CCAAGTATCTGAAGCTATTCCCAAATATATTCTGGCCCAGATCTGTTGCTTTGATGTACTCTTTGCTCTCTCGGTACAAAACCTACCCTTTCTGAATAATACTGACATCAGAAGGACGTGGTGAGGCAGAACAAAGCAGTGGGCATGGCGGTGAGTGACAGGACTTGGCAAACCGAGCTGGATCTTCTGCAGTGATCACACTCTTATCCCTTGTGCTTAGCATATTGGAAATGGGCACACTGCCCAGAACAAAATATTGGACAAATTATGCTTGTGTGTGTGAGTGTGTGTGGTGTACTCTATACTCCTACAACAGAGAGGGGTGAGACATGTTGTATGACTTTGTTTGTGAGTGTGAGTGTACGAGCATATGGGTTAGGTGTATGTGTGTATGCTACACACACCTACAACTGTTCGGGACGGCGGGATCATCACCAGAGATGAAGACGACTCATCTCAGTGACACACACTCCCCCCTCCACGGTGGAAAATAGTTCCAGCCAAATTAAATGGACAGGATGGTGCCCCAGATCACCATCATTGTAGCTGTTATGTGGTTTTCATAAAGCCAAAGTTCGTTATTTTGTGATTGATTTAAGTGTTTTGGATGTGTACGTTTAATAAATAAGAACAAGTAATGGGCATGTAAACAGTCGTACATGACCTCATGAATATTAAAACCAAAGCTAGCGAGGGTCCTTGTGTTGCTTGTCCCCTCTCTCTCCCCTCTCTCTCGCTGCTTTTCAGGTTTGTCTTCTCTATTATCTATATTCCTGTGTAATGATGGTGACAACACCCATGCCAAAAGTCATGCCCTCAAAAAGACGCGCCAGTTGTGCCATGTGGAGCTGCCAGAATGAGAGAGTGAGAGTGAGCAGAGAGGTGAGAAATGGGGAGACATGGACCTGAAAGATGGGTGGATGAAGGAGGCGATGGAGGTGAAGGAGAACTGAGCAAAAAATAAAATAAAAGAGATCGTTATTTTGGAGGCGAGGGAGACAAATGGAGAGAGACAGAGAGAAGAACAAGACTTTGTGGATGACAGCAGGACGGATCAATCAGGATAACTAGTTACTGCAGGTGGCCATGAGAGAGAGACTGTTCTCCCAGGAAGACCAAACTAACAACAAAGCCCTTTGGCTGCTGTAGTAATAACGACAGGAGGAAAGGAGGAAGTCAGGTGATGTTGTTATAGAGCGAAAGTTGACAAAGCATCAGCCTTTAAAATTACTGCTCTTCATTTCCTGTTCCAAACCGTTTTCAAATGGTTTTGGTTAAAATAAGTACTTAAAGCTAGGTAAACATTGTGGTTTGGGTTAAACTGGCTGCTGGCTCAGAGGACCTTTATCGTCATGGTTGAGGTTCAGAAACAATCGTGTGGTAATGGTTAAAAGAAACCAATCTTCAGTGTCAGAAGCAAATGGGAAACAAACTGCAGCTGCCCAATGTTTTTTGATCGATCCATCTCCTCCGACCTCCTCCCGACATCGTTCTGTAACATCACCTGACTTCTTCCTTTGTTCTGGTCATAATTACTACCGGCACTAGAAGGCTTTGTTACTTGAACGTAAACAT